GATTTCTCACATAATATATAGGTTGTGTGGGGTCTATGTTCTCCTATTCCACATTCCATAACATGACATTTATTAACATTAAATTCCATTTGCCAAGTGGTGCTCCATATACTTATTTTGTCCAGGTCTTCTTGAAGGGCATGACAGTCATCTAAATTTCTTATCCTTCCTATTATCTTAGCATCATCAGCAAACATGTTCATATAATTCTGTATACCAACTGGTAGATCATTTATGTACACAATAAACATCACTGGTGCAAGAACTGAACCCTGTGGTACTCCACTTGTGACATTTCTCCATTCTGATACATTGCCTCTGATTACTGCCCTCATTTTTCTATCAGTCAGAAAATTTTTCATCCATGATAGAAGCTTACCTGTCACCCCTCCAATATTTTCCAGTTTCCAGAACAACCTCTTATGTGGAACTCTGTAGAAAGCCTTTTTTAGGTCCAGATAGATGCAGTCAACCCAACCATCTCTTTCCTGTAATATCTCTGTGGCTCGATCATAGAAACTGAGTAAATTCGATACACAGGATCTTCCAGATCGAAAACCATACTGTCTGTCTGATATTATATCATTTCTCTCTAGGTGTTCTACCCATTTAGTTTTGATTAGTTTTTCCAATACTTTCACTATTACACTTGTCAATGATACAGGTCTATAATTGAGGGGGTCTTCCCTGCTGCCACTTTTGTAGATTGGAACTATGTTAGCCTGTTTCCACCCGTCTGCTACGATTCCTGTACACAGGGATGCCTGAAAGATCAGGTGAAATGGAATGCTGAGCTCAGATGCACATTCTCTCAGAACCCATGGTGAAACGCCATCTGGGCCAGCTGCTTTGTTCTTACCGAGCTCCTTGAGCATTTTTTCCACTTCGTCTCTAGACACCTCTATGTGTTCTATGTTGTTCTCTGGAATTCTTATTGTATCTGGTTCCCTAAAGATTTCATTTTGTACAAACACACTTTGGAACTTTTCGTTTAGTGTTTCACACATTTCCTTTTCATCTTCCGTGAATCTATTTCCCATTTTCAACCTCTGAATATTATCCTTTACCTGCAATTTGTTGTTTATGAATTTATAGAATAGACCTGGTTCTGTTTTACATTTGTCCGCAATCCCTTTTTCAAAATTTCTTTCTGCCTCTCTCCTCACTGCCGTGTAGTTGTTTCTCGCATCTTTGTATCGCTGGTATGTTTGGGGGTTCGGCCTCTTCCTGTATTGATTCCATTTTTGTGTCTTTCGGTCTCTAGCCCTCTCGCAATTTCTATTGAACCAATCCTGTTTCCTAGTTCTGCATCTCTGTTTTGGTATAAATTTTTTTGTGCCTTTATCATATATTTCACAAAACTTGCCATACATCTCATTCACTTCCTTGCCTAGCATCAAGTCTGTCCAATTATACTCACTAAAAAATTTCTAAGGTCACCAGTTTCTAAGGTGTGTGTGTGTGTGTGTGTGTGTGTGTGTGTGTGTGTGTGTGTGTATGTATATGTATATATATATATATATACACACACACACACACACGAGCCTAAATCTTATAATTGGACATAGCACACATTTTGCCTGGAATATATAATAGTAATCACTCACTCGCTGCTGTTAAACTTTCAGTGGCTCATGGTATGGTTGCCCTAAACGTTCCTAAAGCCATAACCTTAGGATCATTTCAGAGGCCTACATAACCTAGAACACGTTACTAAGCCCATGAAAGGAAAATGAGGGACTCGGGATGTTTTTTTTCCAAGATCCATCTTGGGGGATGGTTACTGGAAGTTTGTGGAAGCAAATGTGTGCCCTCTTGTATGCATGGGATTTTTTGATTACCTGTACAGGTATTATGATATACTGTACAATCATCATCATATGTCGGTTGGCGCAGTTTCTGGCAAACGAGTTTTCTCGGCCGGCGCAGCACAGTGGTTAAATATAGTACCAATACTCTCTTATCAAGACCAATATTTTTCTAAATATCCTAGCCTGCTTTTCCAACTATTTTATAAACCTTTTGTTGAGGACAATGTTAAAAAGCTCTCTGGTAATCTAGGAAGATGCAATCCACACATCCAAGGCTGCATATAGGTATAAGTTTAACACACTACAGCTTAGGGCCTCTCAAATCCTTAGAATTTTGTTATACGTGTTACTTTATTATAATTTATATTTAATGATTCCATTAATCATAACCTAACAATAATTAACATTAATAAATTAGGTCCCAACTACGTGAATAAAAATATTTACACTTATTGTTTTCTTAGTTTATTACTTTTAATGCTCAATGAAGCATTCATGCCCTGAATTTACCCGAGAGCCACTAACACACTAGTGGCCTCAACGAGGACAGGAAGCCAGCGGCTTGTCAAAGGTCCCCCATTTTCCTTGTCTTGTCAAAGATCCCCCGCCCCCCAAAGGCATATTAAAAGTGAGGAAAACTCTTACAGGAAAAACCTGTGATATTAAATGAGGATAACCTTAATAAATTCCTCTCCCAATCTGACCCAATTAACCCTATCAGTACCTCATCATAATTCACCCCCTTGTTACCTAGTGCAGGCTAGGTAACCTAGGTTTCATTGTTACCTAGCCTCCCCATACTCCCTTACTCCATTGTACTCTGCTATGTCTGTGCCTGTATTGTAAACTATTGTTTTCAGTGTACCTGAGTGTACCTCAAAGTAATCTACCTCATTTATTCTAGAGTAATTTTAGTAATTTTTCCAAGTTTATCATGTTCTAAACATAGTGAATCTTTATTGAATCCTTATTTTTACTTGTCATCCGTATTCTACTTGTCTAATTACATTGATTCCTATTTCCTTTTAACTTGTTCCTATTTCATTTGCATTTCATGCTATTGTTAATTTTATTTCTAGATTTTTTTTTTGTAATTGCTCCATATTTCATTATTGTACTAAATTTAGTTTTGTTATTTTATTTTTTCTCTTTACATTGCATTAACTGTACCTTTGTCATTTTACCATCAAACAGCCTACTTATGTTACCTAGTATAGACCCAGAACTAAACCTCTTATCAAGTATCTATGACAATCATCACTTTAATATTCAAAATTGCAGGTATTTTACAGCACATGATGTAAACAATGTATTAACACATTATCACAATGTATCTGCAATTAACTTGAATGTAAGATCTCTAAGCAAACACCTTGATGATGTTAGTGCCCTAATTCAAACAGGTGACAACAAATTCACCTTTATTATAGTAAGTGAAACATGGTTGAAAGAAGATTCAACACAACTCTTTAACATATCAAACTACTCGGCAACTCACAACTGTTGGCCAATCCAGAGGTGGTGGTACTGCTCTTTACTACACCAAAAACTGATGCTTAAAAGTAATTAGATCTAGAGACACCTGTGGCAAGTATATCTTTGGCTATTTCAGAAGACACTCGCCTGGCGTTCCGCGAGCGCTGTCATGGGTTCGTTCGTATCCTGGCCGGGGAGGATTTACTGGGCGCAATTCCTTAACTGTAGCCTCTGTTTAACGCAACAGTAAAATGTGTACTTGGTTGTAACAACGATTCTTCGCGGCAGAGGATCGTATTCCAGGGACCTGCCCGAAACGCTACGCATACTAGTGGCTGTACAAGAATGTAACAACTCTCGTATATATCTCAAAAAAAAAAAAAAAAAAAAAAAAAAGTTAAGGGTACCAAGGCTAACTTGACTGTGGGAGCAGTTTACAGAATTCCTAACACTGATGTTGCTGAATTCAACTCTAACCTAAGAAATCTTATACTAATGAACAAACTCAACAAAAACCAACTAATAATATCAGGGGATTTTAATATTGACCTCTGCGAGTCTGATAACCCTAAAGTTGCTAGTCTCCTCAATTGTATGAATTCCTGCTTCCTCATACCCTTAATTACTAAATCTACCAGAATTACTGAAACGACTGCCTCTACTCTTGACCACATCTGGACTAACATAACTTCTCCACTTACTTCAGGGATAATCACTGATAGGACCACAGATCATTACCCCACATTTATTCTAACCAATATTAATAAAAACACCTCTAGATACAGTGAAGATAAGCTTTTGGCTACACAATCAAACTTCTATAAGCAGCTTTATTGCTGCTGCTGCTAATATCAACTGAAATAGGTGACATAGTGAACATCAACCTAGCGGTGCAAACATTTCTTCACATAACTCTGAGCCTCTACAACACCCACTGTCCAATGCTAACTAAACAAGTCACAACTAAAAAGTTAAACAATCCGTGGCTTACTAAGAGTATACTTAAATCTATCCATAAAAAACATGACCATGAGAAGAAGTATAGGTTAGAGGTCATCTCCAAAGAAGTTTCAAGGAGATACTCATCAATGCTGTCCAAAATAATTAGGAGAGCCAAAATGAAATACTATAAAAATAAATTTGATTAAATTAAGAGTGTGCTTGTACAAGACTGTGATACTTGGTCTATATAACAATCCCAACACAAAAAACCACAAGAACATGTGCAACAAATATACAATCTGAATATAGCATAACAATGACAATTTGGAGCACTTCATTAGTGTATAGATTAGACACTAATTCCTAGAATGGTTGTCTTCATTTAAGTTATATGAATCAATTATATTACCAGTTTTTAAATACAAGGTAACAAACATTAACGCTTATATCAGCTTCTATATTTTATCATTATATCAGCTTCTTAACTGCTAATTAAAATGACATCTTTTATTACATTTTATTTATTGATTTATTTATATATACAGTATATATAAAAACATTTCATAACAGTAGCTCATTCTTTATTGTCATGCTTTCAACAGATTTTTGCATTAGTGTACATGGGACAGATTTTTAATGGAGTGAGAGTAGAAGAAACCATAAACCATTTTAAACACAACCCACTTGCCATAAACATACTTAAGTCCATTTTGTTTTAGCATTTTCCCTACTGTGTTGGGTTTACCCCATCACCAATGTATAATAACCAACCTCCCAGTTGCAAAGCAGGTGCCATTTGCTGCCCCAAAGGTTGATATGACCACTGAAATTATCATGACAAGCTCTCCAGGCATCTCAAGCAGTATTCCACCGAAATACTAAAAGAAAAACAAAATATTATAGATGTTAGTTGCTCCTTGTTGCCAGATGAGGTATGTGCCATTCCATCAGCAGAGCTGTTGCAGATACATTCGTTCATGCAACTTGAAATACGGTACAGTGCAACAAAAAACGAGTTACATCAGCATGGATCTCTAACGAGCAGTATTCCAAGTCCAGGGAGGCAATCCATTCGTCACTCTCAACACTTGCATCATTGCACAAAGAGGAACACACCTCCCAGCTGTAAAGCAGGAACCATTGGCCGACCCAAAAGCAGACATTATTACAGCACAGAACATGATAATGGCTCCAGACATCCCAAACAGTTGTTCACCAAAATACTAAAAAAAAAAAAAAAAAAATAATAAACAAAAAATTAGTTGCTTTTTATTTTAAGACAAAAATTGTGCCCTCTCCAGAAAATGTTTTGCAGGCATCCTTTCAAGCAGTTTCAGAATAAAATAAGTTCCACCACCACGTAGGCATTTCTAAATAGTAAATTAGATACTTCCTGTAGACCTTTACTACTCAAGCAATACTGAATTTACAAACCTCCCACTTGTAAAGCAGGAACCATTTGCAGAGCCAAAAGTTGACATGAACACACTGCAGATCATGATGACCTCGCCTGCTACTCCAATTAGTTGGGTACCAAACAACTAAAAACGCAAACTGAAGATTAACTCTTCAAATAAAGCGACTGGCAGAGAAGTAAATGCTGTATTAAAATGTCTTAAATAGCTTCACAAGACTTTTGTATCCGGCTCAAGTTATTTATGCATGTTTGTTGGTAGATAATACCTTCTACAGGCAACACATGCCTCTGGCAATAGCCCACTCTCTTGGGAAAAATTCCTGTGTAATCAAAACCACCAACCATTACCATTACGTCCTTACAGAGAGGCCTGACAGCTGAGTGGACAGCGCCCGGGATTCATAGTCCTAAGGTTCTGGGTTCGATTCCCGGTGGAGGTGGAAACAAATGGGCAGAGTTTCTGTCACCCTGAAGTTCACCTAGCAGTAAATATGTACTTTGGAGTTAGACAGCTGCTATGGGCTGCTTTCTGGGGGGTGTGTAACAAGGAGGAGGCCTGGTTGAGGACCGGGCCGCGGGGACGCTAAGCGCCGAAATCATCTCAAGATAACCAGTATACAGAAGCTCTTGGATGTCATCAGCTTTGAAATCACTTCCATGACACATAAGTGTGCAAGTGACTAGACACAAACCACACAAATGTGTAGAATTTTGAATGAACCAAATGATGAATATTTATCACTGAATAAAGAAATCACATTAACGTGATGTATCAATAAGAAAATCAGGAGGAACCTTGAGGAAGATTCAAACCTATGCTCTGGGTACTCCCAAGCACATGCCTCAAACCATTACACCATGACATAGTAAAAGCAATTCGACCTCTTTGTGCATAGAAAAGCAAAGGAGGTAGAATTCCTAGACTACAAGCCAGAATGTATGGGGGCAATGTGTGAAACCCTGGTTAGGCTTCAGTGTAAGCCTCAGGAACCCTAAAGGATTCAACTGAATGCTAGGTTGCATAGATTTTACCATGTCATGGTGTAGTAATTACCCAAGTGTAGTTACAGGACGAGAGCTACGTTCATGGTGTCCCATCTTCCCAGTACTCTGTCATATAGTAGTAGTAGTAGGCATCCATCAGTCTCAGGAGACTATGGTGTTGTGCTCTGGTTGTTAGTCTGAAGTTGCCTCACCAGGGCACCAAGCCAGGGTAGGTTGGTATGGAGGAGAAGCTGTTACCCAGGCAGCAGGTCCCCCCTCTCCACAGCGCCAAAAGTCTCCATTGGCAAGGCAAACACCAATATGATTGGTTCCAGCACTGTCGCAGGAACTGTGAGTTCCGGGGTTGACCTCAAAGTTGGTGAAAAAAAAAAGCACAGGGACTCCAAACCCGGAGACCACCGTGGACATGGCTGGAGAAGAACCACCCCATCAAGGGAATGAACTACCCCAGCCTCCTGAAGCAGAGCCTGGGCCGCACGACCCTCAGGAGGTGGACGTCCCGGTCCCGTACCTACAGGTTCCAGACAGAGATCGTCACAGCCCCCTTTCACCCGAGGCTGGCCTCCTTCAAGACCAAGCAGAAGGAAGAGTGATAATTATTAAATACATCATTTATTATTATAATAATTATTATAATAATATAATATAAATAATTAATAATTATCACTCTTCCTTTTGCTTGGTAAAAGCATATTTAATGCTTTGTCATAAAATACATAGAAATTCCTGACGGTTTTGGCCTCCACCATTGTCTCACTTAACTTGTTCCAACCATCTACCACATTATCTGTGAAAGTGAATTTTCCTACATTTCTTTGTCAGATTTGTTTAGCTAGTTTAAAGCTATGACCTCTTGTTCTTTAAGTTCCAGGTCTCAGGAATTCTTTCTTATCAACTTTGTTTATTCTTGTTACTATTTTGTACGTTGTAATCATATTGCCTCTTTTTCTTCTATTTTCTAGCTTTGGCATATTTAATACCTCTAACCTCTCCTCGTAGCTCTTGTCTTTCAGTTCCAGAAGCCATTCCAGTTGCATGTCTTTGCACCTTTTCCAGTTTGTTGATGTGCTTCTTAAGATATGGGTACCATACAATGGCTGCATCTTCTAACTTTGGTCTCATAAAGGTTGTGAAGGATTTCTTTAGTATTTCACCATCCATGTATTTAAAAGCAATTCTGAAATTGGAAAGCTAAGCATAGGCTCCCCACACAGAAGGAGGTGTCACCTTTATGTGGTCCTCAGGTGACAGTTTTCAGTTTATATCCACCTATAGATCTCTTTCTTTATCAGAATTTTTAAAAACTTATTCGCATAATTTGTAGGGTGTGTGTGTGTGGTCTATTTTCTCCTATCATCATTCCATAACATGACATTTATGCACATTAATTTCCATTTGCCAAGTGGTGCTCCATACACTTATTTGTTTAGGTTTTTTCGAAGGGCAAGACAGTCGTTTAAGTTTCTTATCTGTCCTAGTATCGAATCTTAGCATCACCAGCAAACATGTTCATATAATTCTGTATTCCTTCTGGTAGGTCACGTATGTAGACAATGAATATTACCGGTGCAAGAACTCGCCCCTGTAGTACTCCACTCGTCACATCTCTTCAGTTCGATACACTGACTCTGATTACTGCCTTCATTTTTCCGTTAAAACATTTTTCATCCATGTTAGAAGTCACTCCTCCAGTATGTTCCCATTTACAGAACAAACATTTTTGTGAGACCGTGTCAAAAGCCTTTTTTAGGTCCAGATAAATGCAGTCAGCCCAACCATCTCTTTCTTGTAAAATCTCTGTGGCTCTATCATAGAAACTTAAGTAAATTCGTAACACAGGATCTTCCAGATCAAAACCTATACAGTAGTTGTTTATGCGTTTGCTTGGGTGTACCCAGAGCATAGGTTCAAATCCTCCTCATGGCTCCTACTGATTTTCTCCTTATTTATCACTGTTCAGATATGGAAGAATATAATTTATTAGTAAATCTGGAAGGCCAAAATAAAGGTGCGAGGGATTTTTTTTTTTTTTACTCTGAGAGCCAACTTGTCTCATTACCAACAGCCAGGCCTCCACTCCACACCCAGGGAGAAGACTTTTTTCTGTAACTTTTACATAGAAATCAATCACTTTTAAAGGAATTTTTGTTTTCCTAAGCATGGGAGCAGCTTGAAATATACATGATAACAGTTAAAGAGTTAAAAAGCATAAAGCATATCAGATTGCAGAGATGCCTTCCCAATAGAAAAGATTGCAGAGATGCCTTTCCACCAGGAAAGATGGCAGAGATGCTCTTCCATCAGCAGAAACGCTAAAGAGGCCTTCACCAAAGTGACATCAGACTAATAAAATACTGTATAACTTATGCCACCTAGCAACCTGTAGCAAGCATTTCTCCCCCCCCCCCCAAAAAAAAGACTTATATGTATTTATTTTTTAAATAAGCTAGGGAAATGAAAAACAAACCTCCCGGCCGTAAATGAGGAACCGTTCGCTGCCCCAAAAGTCGACATCACCACCGCAGTGATCATGATTACTTCACCTGCTGTCCCAATTAGTTGACCACCAAAAAACTAAATACAAAATCATAAAAGAAAATAGGGTAAACAAGATATTATGGATTGTTAGGCATGTTAACAAATTACATTACATATACAACAAACAAAAAGATAAAATTAAAGTAAGAGGCTAGAGACACATTATAACAATTGAGGTATGAGAAGGGGAGTGGTGCTGGGCCCCCCACCCCCACTTTAAGAGCAATAGCGGTGTTGGGGAGGGGGGCAGCACCATTCATCAACAAGACCATTAGAGAAAATGTCAAGTGTTATTTATAAATATTTAAGTGTAAATTATCTATTGTAAATAAACGGCTGCTTTTAGGCTTATATAGAGATCCTCTCCTTCCCCAAAAGGTCAAACTACTGACTCTCCCCCAGGATGCAACCCCACAACACACTGTGGGGTTGTGGGATTGTACTCCACAGGTACCCCTTACTCCTGGGTACCTGTTTACCACGAAGTGAACAGGTGCATTAGGTTAGAGGAAACGAGCCAAACCACTTCTGTCCCAACCTGTTTACCGCGAGGTGAACAGGTGCATTAGGTTAGAGGAAACGAGCCAAACCACTTCTGTCCCAACCGGGATTCGAACCCGGAATTCCCTATTGTGAAGCTAGGATAAACCTGACTGTACTGCCAGAGTCCTATGATTATGTTTCATGCCCTCCCACCTGTTCACTCCATCCCAGCTATCTTTTTACCTAATTTCACCTGTGGTGTATGACCTCACACTCATGTATATACTGTATTGTATAATAATAACTCTTCTGCTACCATTGTGTTAAAAAGACCAGCCTGTGTTCCAACAAATTTTAAAAGTCTTTTTGTACACTTGTACATTACAAATAATGTAATACAGCACATGTACCACACCAAAATCCTTATTTATATATTTGGGTGTCTAAGTAGTCATAAAATTGTATTATCACTTGTTAATGGATGAATAGTGTAGAAAGGGGGTAAATTCTAAGCAATCCAGATTTCCAACAAATCCGGATTGGGTCTGGAATTACATAATCCAGATTTTTGAGGTTCATCTGGTATGTGAAACTACATTAGATGAAAAAGCAACACATAAACTTTGTCGAAATAGAAATACAAAGAAGGAAGGGGGTGGAAAACTATATATAAAAACAGAAGAGTGAGGTGGAAGGCCTGCATGGGCAATACATACCACTGCCACAGTCTCGGAGGCGAGGAGCTCGTCTTGGCTCATGACGGCCAGGTACGAGATGTTGACGAGCAAGTAGCAAATGGTGACCAGAGGAAGCCCAATGATGATGGCCCGTGGCAGGTTCCTGTAACACGCCAACACACATTTGCTTAATGCATACCGTAATGCCCTTCAATCAGTGATTCACTACAGGTACAGGTGGGAAGGCTTGCAAAAAATTGACAGACCAAAATAAAAAGGAAAGTCAGAATTCAAGATAGGGATTTAATCATTTTCAAATCGGGAAAAACAGAAATATTTGGCAGAAACTTGGTTTCAAATTAAAATGATACATTTTCTATACCAAATCTGACATCTACCAAACTCAAGGAGTTGCAATCCTTTGACAATGTTCCCAAACACACAACTTTACTTATCAGAATTGAGCCTAGCTTCCCATGATCCATGAGAACGATCAAGGAGTTTAATGCTGCCATGTGCTCCCTTGCCTCTCCCATCAATTTATATATACATTTCTGCATTGATCAATCTTTCCTATACATATTTATATCACCATCATTGGCTTCACATAACCATGAGCCAAGGCAAGAAGAGCAATTTAAATTGGTACATGGAGTACCTTCACATATCACTACTGTACTGTACTTCCAAACTACTTTCCAGCTCAAATGTGTGTGTTCAAACAAGAGTTAAATCAGCCAAGTCATTGTTGAAATGTTGTTGGTATACTTACGTGTAGGGTTTCTTGAGTTCCTCCGTCACATAGTTGAGGTTGTTCCTGTGGGAAAAGAAAAAAGGGTGGCAGACAGCTTTTATGGCTGCATTATATATATATACACACACTACTATAAAACCTGTGTAAACCACTATTACCACTTACTGTATAAACTTTTATTTGTCAGAAATACAACTACGGTACTGTATTCTTATGAGCTCAAATATGTGCCAACCATTTCCTCTCCCTCCCCTTCCCCTCCTCATCTTTTTCATTCCTTCTTACTCACTTTCATCCTCACTCATCACCCCTCCACTCACCAGCCATCATAGGCCCAGAGACCACTGTAGAATGCAGTGGCAATGTCGCCGAAGCTCTTGGTGGAGCCGTGGAAGCCCGTGGCGAGATACTGGGTGTTGCCCTGGCCCAGCTTAACCATGCCGCCCACCACAATGATTAGGATGGCTACCAGCTTGGCCGCTGTGAACACGTTCTGCACCCTCGTTGCCAGGTTCACAGAATACGAGTTGATGAATGTGATGAGGACTGGTAGGAGAGTGGGGGGAGTAGATGTACAAGGTATAAATACTGTAGTTGCTAATAGTTGTACAGTATAGCCATATTTAGGATGGTTGTAGGGGGGAGTACAACAGAGTTGTTTGGGGTATGATGGAATCTATACAGTTTTGTGGAGAGTTAAGAAGGGTATAGTGAGATTCAGGTTGGATTGAGAGTGGGTGGTTCACACTGGGTCTGAGGGGTACAGTGGGTGGTTCACACTGGGTCTGAGGGGTACAGTGGGTGGTTCACACTAGGTTTGAGAGGTACAGTGGGTGGTTCACACTGGGTATGAGAGGTACAGTGGGTGGTTCACACTGGGTTTGAGAGGTACAGTGGGGGAGGGGGGATTCACACTGGGTTTGAGAGGTACAGTGGGGGAGGGAGGTTTCACACTGGGTTTGAGAGGTACAGTGGGGGGTTTCACACTGGGTTTGAGAGGTACAGTGGGGGGGGGGGTTCACACTAGGTTTGAGGGGTACAGTGGGTGGTTCACACTAGGTTTCAGGGGTACAGTGGGTGGTTCACACTGAGTCTGAGGGGCACAGTGTGAGGTTCACACTGAGCCTGAGGGGCACAGTGCGAGGTTCACACTGGGTCTAAGGGGCACAGTGTGAGGTTCACACTGGGTCTAAGGGGCACAGTGTGAGGTTCACACTGGGTCTAAGGGGCACAGTGTGAGGTTCACACTGGGTCTAAGGGGCACAGTGTGAGGTTCACACTGGGTCTAAGGGGCACAGTGTGAGGTTCACACTGGGTCTAAGGGGCACAGTGTGAGGTTCACACTGGGTCTAAGGGGCACAGTGTGAGGTTCACACTGGGTCTAAGGGGCACAGTGCGAGGTTCACACTGGGTCTAAGGGGCACAGTGTGAGGTTCACACTGGGGTTTGAGGAAGTGCAGGGGTTCATACAGGGCCTGAGGAGTATAAAGAATATAGTATTGGGATGAGAAATAATTTCATGGTTGAGAACAGCTAAGGTCAGGGTGCAAGGTAAACATTGCTGGTCCAGCAGCAGTCTGGGTCAAGGATTCAACAAAGTAGTCACAAGATGAGTGTAAAAATTATCACTGTATAATAAGCTACAGTAGTTGAAAATTAAATCCAAGATAAGCCAATGCTGTACAATACTTATCATGTTTAAGAGTATTTAAAGGGTTGTCTAAGCCTAACATTTGTTACGTAAGTAGTATTCATTTGAAGAATTAATAAAGTACTATTTTGAAGAATAAATATAGTATTCATTTGAAAAATTTAGTAGTCATTTAAAGAATAAATACAGTATACTGTATACATAATGAATACAGTATACAGTATTCATTTAAAGAATACAATTACTGAAAATTTAAGTAAAACAATTTTAAACGTAAAACATACCTACTATATTTTTATTAGCATGGCTTTTGCCTTTTTCTCAAGAGAAATGGGGAGAAAATAAATGGTGCACATCTATTTTGTTACAGTATTTTGAAATAGACAAGGACAATACCTGTATTAACCACCCCATAGTCAAATAAATTGGGTGGGCACAGCATGCAATGCACACCCCTGACACCCGACTCACATCAATTATGAACATAGTGCATATTATACTCTACACTCATCTTAACTACATCTCACATTTCTAACTCTATAAACCTAGAGATTATCATTTTCTCGCTGTTTTAACTCACAGTCTCCCTCTCTCTCTCTCTCTCTCTCTCTCTCTCTCTCTCTCTCTCGTACATCAAATTAGCTGTATCTCGTGCCATAGCTCATCGTCGATCTTTATAGCCTATTCCACTGCATTAACGAATCAAGTTTTGTGTCTGTTTAAGCCTGGTGAAGCTCCCCCAATTGACCGTCTGAATGGTTTAACTAGGCCTTACTTTGTCTTATTATATTACAATAATATTGACTGTTTTACTACAATGTTACAAACTGCCACGTGTAGGCAGATCGACACGCACTACAACTAGTTATATTGAATCAAACCATGTGCTAGTATGAACCATTCTCTTGTGAGATTTCCTTTGTGTAGTTATTTTTTAATTGCCATATTTAGTTACATTTGCATTTATGCAACTACCCTAGATTCCATGAAGGATTACGTTGTGTATCAACAGCGAGCTATGAAATGCTCTGAAATCACCATTTCACAGGATGGTTAGTCAAAGAGTTATGTGATCAGTGACCATGTATAATAAGGACAGACCTTTTCATTTTAAATTTGTAATTTACATTAGTTCTTGAGCAAATCACTGAAGTGTGCAGTATTTGTCATTGAATTTTGCAAGCATATTTATTTGTTATATGAAGGAAATAATACAAGTACGAGCACGTGGTGATGAGTACTTATGACAAATGCAGCGACGAGTTTGATCGCCAAGCTTGGTGGAAGACAGCCAACACTGCCGACGCTGAAGATCCTCACTAAGTATTCGGAGCAGGTGAGGCAGATTATGGCTAGTGAGGAGGGCTTCAGCAGGAATATGGATACCCACCCAAACAGGAATGCTGGTATGGGACCCCACCAAGTCCTCTTGCGCTCCCCCGATGCAAAACCCTGCATGTAATAAGCGTACTCTCCTCCCGAGGCCTCGACGAGTGTTCCAAGCTCGGCGTAGGCTAGTGCGCCTGTGTGTACATGTGTGGGTGACCGAGTCTTAGTTAACAACAACAACTACACTCACATCACACTACAAGGGTAACCTCCCCTCAGGCTAAGCTCGTTAAAGCGGCAGTAAACCATAAGATGCATTCATCAGTTTCAGTACTGTGTGTATTCAAAATTGATACTTTCTCAAGTTATTATTATATACTAGAATGCATTAAATAGTTAGACCTAACTTAGGTTAGGTTCTGTTGGTAATTTTGGGTATTTGCAGTATGTGGATGAAATATTTAGAGAAGTGCAACTCTAGCAGAGGGCAAAGGAAGCACTGTTCGAGAAAAGTACACACACACATCACTTGTGAGTTGTGTGTAAATTATTTTTATCCATGACAGGGTTTGGTGGCCGGATTAACGAGCATTTGGCCTTTGCTGAGGAGGACAGGTTGACAAAGCAAATATAACTCATGCAACACAAATTTAGTTATTAATGCACCTGTTACAAAGGAAAATGGTTCAGTCCAGGGAATATATAAAATCACAATTACAGGAATGAAAGAAGTCGTGCAGTAGTGGAATTGTCAAATTCAACTGAAACAAAAGAGAGACTAATTAACTTTCTGCATCTAAAAATAAAAAAATATGAAAGCCATGCAAACACAAAATTATACACTGAAATATTATACTGCTGAAAAAGGGAAAACAAATAAATTAGCCTGGAATAGCCTAAACAAGAAGCAAACACTGAAAAGAAAGAATGAAGACAAAATTACATGATGCTGTGAACTGGAAAAAAAAAATTGCTTTAAATTACGAGTGAAAAGGATAACTGGACCAGTGTACCAAGAGTAACAAGCATCATCTTAATGTCTCCTCCGAATAGGAAGGATTTAATTATTAGCTCAAGAGCAGAATCTGAAGATATTAAGCATGACATAGCTGGTAAAGGGTTGCAGGTTTATAGTACAGAATACACTAGGGGGTGGTGGTGGTGGTGGGGGGGGGATTTAAGATGAGTGACTGAAGTGGTTTTTAGTCTACTGGTCAAATAACCTAAATAGATAAATGCACAGCAATAGGAAGAAATAATTTGTATAAATCAATTCACTTTTCAAATGAAGCAAGAGCATAATAAACTTAGTCTGCTAAGAAAAGGTAGCTACAGGTGTTGATCCAGTGTCCAAAGATGGATTTATAAACCAAATAGAAAAAATAAAATGAACAGAATGACCGACGTGGGCCAACTACACACCTCTTGGACTCCACAACAACCCCACCCATCCTTTCCACACAACAGCCTACAACCACCCCTTCCCCACATAGACTGGAGGACAGCATGAGGCAACAAGATGACCGGGACAAACTGAAGGAATGGTCCAACAAATGGCTATTAGAATTTAACTCAAGCAAGTGTAAAGTAATGAAAAATAGGTGTAGGGAGCAGGAGGCCAGATACAGGATACCATGTGGGAGATGAATTCCTTCAAGCATCATAGAGAAAGATCTGAGGGGTTGATATCATGCTGGACTTGTCCTCTGAAGCCCACAGCAAGAGGATATCAGCAGCAATATGTTAAGATGGCCAACATAAGAACGGCTTTTAGAATCTTGAGTAAGGAACCATTTAGAACCATATATACCACATATGTCAGACATATCCTGGAGTATGCAGCTCTAGCATGGAGTTTGTATCTAGCATGGACTCCATATCTAGTCAAGCACAAGACTAAATTGAAGATGTTTGAGGGTATGCCACCCGACTAGTACCCAAGGCTGAGGGGTATGAGCAACAAGGAAAGAGTATAGGAATTAAACCTCATGTTGCTGGACGACACAAGAGTTAGGGGAGACATGATTAATACATACAAAATCCTCAGATTATTTTGTATGTTATACAACCATATATATATACATATATACATATATATAATATATATATATACAGGGTTGATAAAGACATTATTAAAAACAGGTGATACAAACAAAAAGGAGAACATGTGGAAACAGAGTACTCAAATGAGCCCCCACTGACAGTAGAAAGAACTTTTTCAGCGTCGCAGTAATTACCAAACGGATTGTACTAGGCTGTGATGTGGTGGAGGCTGACTCCAGTTTCAAATGTAGATATGATAAAGCCCAGTAGACTCAGGAATGTGTATACCAGTTAATTGACTGTTAAGAGTGGAACCAGAGCTGAAGCTCAACTCCCTCAAGCACAATTGAGTGAGTACAGCCTGCAAGCCTTACACCCCTCCCTCCCCTTCACACACAGGGGGCCAATGGCTGAGTGGACAGCACTTGGGACTCGTAATCCTAGGTGTCCGGGTTTGATCCTTAACGACGGTGGAAAATAAATGGGCAGAGATTCTTTCACCCTGATGCACCTGTTACCTAGCAGTAAATAGGTACCTGGGAGTTAGACAGCTGTTAGGGGCCGCATCTTGGGGGAGGATGTGTTTGTGTTGAGGAAAAAAAAAAGTTGATTGACAGTTGACAGGCGGGCCGAAAGAGCAGAGCTCAACCCCCGCAAGTACAACTAGGGGAAAACAACTAGGTGAATACACCAACAACAACAAAAAGCCACAACCTGATAACTCTGAAGAGAAAACATTAAACCCCAAACTATAAAACTTTAAAAACTGGTGTTAGTCAAACATGCAGTAAAACACCATTACACTAGCTAGCATAGTGACTACTAGATGGTAACAACGAGCTAATTTTAAATTATAAACGAGAACGTAAATAAAAAAATCTATATATAATGGCCAATAAACAATAAAGCATGCAGATTAAACAATAAATTAAGAACCTGTACGATGTAATTGGTGTTGCTATGGTAATGAAGGGTTTTTTGAACTGTGTTCCTTGTAAAAATGTCTATTTAATCCAAATTTACAAAGGGAAGGTGATGAAGGCTAAGTAATTCCGTCGCTGGGTGTGGTCGTATCAACTGCTCAACAAACCAGTTAGGTAAACTCGGGTAAACCATTATTATACGTCAATGCCAAGCTGTGTATACATTCACAGAGGGGAAACTTGTGCTCTAGAATTGAGCTTTAACTTTAATATGAAAATACTGTACTAGGAAACATGTAGACGGGCCGTTGTCTTGTATAAGACAATGAATTGTAAACATTATTATCTCTTATCCTCCTCATCCACCCTCTCATACCCACATCCACCCACCCTCTCCCCCCTCTCATACCCACATCCACCCACCCTCTCCCCCTCTCATACCCACATCCACCCACCCTCTCCCCTCTCATACCCACATCCACCCACCCTTTCCCCTCTCATACCCACATCCACCCACCCTCTCCCTCCTCTCATACCCACATCCACCCACCCTCTCCCCCCTCTCATACCCACATCCACCCACCCTCTCCCCCTCTCATACCCACATCCACCCACCCTCTCATACCCACATCCACCCACCCTCTCCCACTCTCATACCCACATCCACCCACCCTCTCCCCCCTCTCATACCCACATCCACCCACCCTCTCCCCCCTCTCATACCCACATCCACACACACCTCCTTCCTCAGACCAAGTCCATTCTATCCAGCGGTCGACCCCAAAGACGCACTCATAAATTTTAACATTATTCATTCAAAATAGTAATTTTCTCAAATATAAATTATTATATATTAGCACATTGTGTATATTTAGGCACTGGTTAGGTTAGGTTAGGTTTAGGTTCTGTTGGCTTTTATTTGTATTTGTAGTACGTGGGTGAAGCATTTAGTGTTGTGGTTCGAACAAAAGTTGCCCACGAAGTACTTGTTCGGGAAGTGTTCGAACGTCATCAATTGCGAGTTGTGGGTAAATGGTTTTTCAATCATAAACAGGGGGGGGGGGTTTGACGGGTGCATGGAATGGACTTTGCCGTTTGTTTATGAAGACAGTCTGCCTTCATATACTTTTCTCCCCACTCCTTCCCCCCCTCCCCCCATCACTTGATTTTGATTTATATGCAGTACAAAGAAAATACAAAGGTTTGCACACGTACATACTCTGATGATTACATGATCAGAAATATGAACGGGGTTGGCGATGAGTCACAATAACGTGGCTAAAGTATGATGACCAGACCACACACTAGAAGGTGAAGGGACGACGACGTTTCGGTCCGTCCTGGACCATTCTCATGGTCCAGGACGGACCGAAACGTCGTCGTCCCTTCACCTTCTAGTGTGTGGTCTGGTCATGAACGGGGGTTGTATATTCTTGTATAATAAAAATGTTTTCTATCATAAATATGCTCTGAAGCAGCAACAGTCCATAGCTATAACGACTGTGGATTATTATTTTAAGGATAGGTCTATATTCTGCATCCTTCTTCCCTACTCTCACCTAATTCTTCTCCTTTTCCTGCGTCTCTCCATTCGTGTTTGGTAGGCTGTCTAACAATATAAAGGAATATGATTGTCCTCGCCTATTTGTGCCTGCAGGATCGAGCACTGGCTCTTGGCTCCCGCCTTTCTAGGCACGGGTTGTTACTTTAAAGCAATGACTTCTGTCCTACTTCCCTATCATATCTAGTTTTAAAACTATGAATAATGTGACATTATCATTGTTAATCGTTTGTCCTTTGATATATTGTGAAGGGTGGCGCTACGGGTCTTGCGCTATCGATCGTTATCTCTGCATTAAAACTGTTTAGCTTCACATATTGATAATACTTGATACCTAGGAACCAAAAACGTGGCCATCCCTATTATTTTCATCTAGTCAGCTTTGACATTCAGTTTTATTAAAGCCTAACTTGCATTTCATACTTTCAATTGGATCAAACTGTTGATAACTAAAATAAAGCTAATGTGGTTCGAACAAAACCAGTGGGTGGATCAGGTATTCCAAAGGATACCTGATCAACCAGGCTGTGACTCATACGTCAGGCTGCGAGCAGCCGCGTCCAACAGCCTGGTTGATCAGTCCAGCAACCAGGAGGCCTGGTCGACGACCGGGGCCGCGGGGACGCTAAGCCCCAGAAGCACCTCAAGGTAACCTCAAGCTAATGTAAAGTACACCCTCACTATCGTGCACCATACCAAGCCTCATTCATAGTCAGGGGTGCCCAATAACCTCCACCCTCCAACCCGTTCTCGCAAATTCGTATAGTCAATACAACCCGTTCTCGCAAATTCGTATAGTCAATATTGACTTATTAACTACGTGCATAGGTGATATACTAAACATAATAGATACCCTTAAAAAGATTCATAGAAAACACCGACCTTACCTAACCTTGTTAGTATCTTAAGATAAGCATCTTATTGCTTCGTAATTACAATTGTTACTTAACCTATTATAGGTATAGGTTAAGTAATAATTTTAATTACGAAGCTATAAGATGCTTATCTTAAGATACTAACAAGGTTAGGTAAGGTCGGTGTTTTCTATGAAGCTTTTTAAGGGTATCTATTATGTTTAGTATGTCACCTATGTACTTATTTAGTAAGTCTGCCCGAAACGCTACGCGTGCTAGTGGCTTTACAAGACTGTAATTACCATATTTGTATCCTCACATTCCTTATGTACATTCTTGTATATGCATAAATAAATAAATAAATAAAGTCAATATTGACTTTACAAATTTGCGAGAACGGGTTGGCACCCTCACCCCCCAAGCCACTCTCGTCCTGGCCTCACCAATAGTAAGAGCACCCAAAAGCTGTATGGCCATCAGCGGAGGCTCACAGTCCGAGGCGAAGGCTTCGACGAGGTACTTGGAGAAGGAGAGGCAGATGATGGCCAGCATGGCGGGCTTGAGCAGGATGATGGACACCCAGGCAAAGAGGAATGCCGGCAGGTGACCGAACGCCGTCAGGAAATATGTGTGTTCTGCTCCCGAGGAAGGGATCATGCAGCCCAACTCAACGTAACACAGCGCCCCTGTGGCCAGTCGTCGCAGGGTACACAGAGGGTTATACAGTAGTTGGGGCAGGGGGGTCGAGTCGCCATACAGTGGGGGAGGGGTTCGAATTGCCATATACCAGAATAAGGTGGTATACAGGGACAGGGAGGGGGGGTTGCCACACAGTGGGGGAGGGTAGTGTACAGGGGATGGGGAGAGGTTCGAATTGCCATATACCAGAATAAGGTGGTATTCAGGGAGAGGGGAGGGGGGGTTGCCATACAGTGGGGGAGGGGTTCGAATTGTCATATACCAGAATAAGGTGGTATACAGGGAGAGGGGAGGGGGGAGGGGTTGTCATACAGTGGGGGAGGGGTTCGAATTGCCATATACCAGAATAAGATGGTATTCAGGGAGAGGGGAGGGGGGTTGCCACACAGTGGGGGAGGGGTTCGAATTGCCATATACCAGAATAAGGTGGTATTCAGGGAGAGGGGAGGGGGGGTTGTCATACAGTGGGGGAGGGGTTCGAATTGCCATATACCAGAATAAGATGGTATACAGGGACAGGGAGGAGGAGGGGTTGCCATACAACATCGAACAGTGGAGGAGGAAGGGGTTAAGTAGTAGAATGTTAATCATGACCATCCAACAGTAGACAAGTTCCAGCACCAGCAGTAGGGTCGCAAACAACGGGAGAAGAAACGGGTACAACAGTGTCATATTTAGTAATAATTTACAAAACGAAGTACGACAAGACACAAGAGTTATATTTTGCACAGAGAGAGAGACGTAGGGAGAGAAAGTGGAGATAGCAGCAGTAGTGACGATGGTGGTCCGGAGACGTCCATGAGATAACCACGCAGGAGTTGATATCGTTGAGTTGATATCGTTGAGTTGATATCGTTGAGTTGATATCGTTGAAGTCGTCAGTATCCCCACACACAGCAGTCGCCACACACCAAGATAACGTCCCAAGGAAAGCATCAGAGTAGAAAATAAAATTGACCATATTTATATACAGAACTCGCACATATTATATATACATGGTACAGTACATATATTATTAGCATCGCCATCACATTCCATCAGACATCTGAAACAACAAACACAGTAATATCATACCGTAGTGTCCCTGTGTTGGATGAAAAACAATTTTATGAATATTCAATGAAAAATGTTGAATCAATAACATTTATTTTTAACATAAATTAATCAATATTGCATAAAGGTTTGCAGGATACAATTACATTTTAATCCAAAAAACTTTTAAAGAAATCCAGTATATAAAAGGCATCAAATCTATAAATAAAAAATAAACACAGTATATGAAAGGCAAACATCAAATCTATAAATCAATCAGAATGTTTGTAACTACAACTATGTATGTACTTTTCCTAAATAAAATATTATTATTATTATTATTAAATAACAAAAGTTTAAAAATATCAAAATAAGAATATTGTACGAAAGTCCACGGACATACCAACCCACGTTTGACTTGAATAAACTATTGTACTCTATATTACAATACAATACAATACAATTTTATTTAGGTAAGGTACATACATACAATAAATATTTACAAGGATTGTTTAACTTATAGGTATAGCTAGTACATACAATGCCTAAAGCCACTATTAGGATAAGCAAATAATATAAGATATATTCACCTCATATTCACCAAATAATATAAGATATATTCACCTCATTCCTCCAAAAAGGGTTAGTACTTATAGCACCAATTTGGTCAAACGTACACTAATGAGCTGTGAGCTCAAAACGGTTCACATATTGTGTTAGTGATTTAGCCTAAATGGCAATCTTAACACTGGAAATGTGCTAAACAATATAACCTAATCTGTCCCAGCATTCCTAGGCCTAATATACGTGATCTTAAGCCTAATACATTTGTCAGCTATACTAGGTCCAGGAATGCTTAAGGTGCCTTTTTGGTCGACTTATTCCGTGCCATGGACGAAAGTACCGGAACAAAACGTGTACATTGTTGACTGTTTAAGTCCAGTTTTGTACCTTCGACCGAATATGGCCAGATAATTATCAGGAGAAAGAACTAAGGCGGCTCGCCTATATAACACTGGGAAGAGATACGAGGATAAGGATTTAGGATAAGACTGAAGGAAGGAATGGTGGCCAACTACCCTGAACATCGGGGGATTGAACGCCGATTTGTAAGGAGCGAAGTCGTCTCTCTACCAACCAGTCCAAGTGGTTGAGTAGATGAAAGTACTATAATTTTAGAAGGATGGTTTGGGATACACAGACTGTTTCTTTTATGCCTGTTACCCGCCCTAACTATACAAGATTACAAGCACTGACCTACCCCGAACTTATTTGTTTTAGGACGAGCAAAACGTAACTTATATTTCAATAATACCTTTATCATAACCCCGTACCAACACCTTCAATATTTATTTGAGCACCATTGGACAGTTACCGGATATTAAATGACTTCAAACACAAACCAGAAATGATTAAATGAACAAATCCACAAGGGCCGTGACGAGGATTCGAACCTACGTCCGAGAGCATCCCAGACGCTGCCTTAATCGACTGAGCTACGATAGGGTATAGCTCAGTCGATTAAGGCAGTGTCTGGGATGCTCCCGGACGCAGGTTCGAATCCTCGTCACGGCCCTTGTGGATTTGTTCATTTGATGCATCACGCTATTGTGATTTCTGTGTGTAGTGTCATTAATGATTAATTTTGGAGACTAAAGAGAGCGTCCACATGATTCAATGATTTCCCGAGACAAGGTAACAGCACTTGAGAAATGTTAATAGCATCTTATTCCGACTTTTGTGACTGAATTCATACATCGCGTGTTCAGTCTATCAAGCACTGTTGGGTGTGGCTAGTACCCGATTGGGTGACCACTGACAATCTCTCCTTTGCATGGGGGACCTGGATAAGCCTAACAGTTAACAGTGCGAGAGATGCCTAATAAGAATAACTTATTTCGTCGGGGGACAGGCAGCCTGTGTATATACATGTTAGACCTATATCGAGGACCCCCCTAAGGTCCAACTACTGCCCCCCCCCCTCCCCTTAGGATGCAGCCCCACAACAAGCTGACTAACTCCTGGGTACCAATTTACTGCTAGGTAGACAGGAGCATTAGATGAAAGGAAATGTGGCCATCATTTCTATCCCGCCCGGGATTCGAACCCAAACTGCCGATGGTGAGAGGAGAATGAAGCCGAGTGTGCTACGGGGACGCTGTACAACAACGAAGCCAAAGCCACCGCCGGACGCACGAACAAAAAACGAGTCTCCGTCTGACGTCAGCACACTGACATCAACATTAACAAGTTAAATTCATACAAATCTTGGCAGCCTGGTACCAGCCCGCCGCCGCCCTAAATAGAAGCCGCGCAGTGACGTCACAGTGGCCCACAAGGCATGAATGGCTATAGTTCACCCGCCAATGGACGAAGGTGACGACTGATCATTTACATCTTGGTTAATATGACTCGCGCGAGATTCCAGAGTCATCTTTCACAGTCTCAGACGTACTGGCAGGAGTCCAAGGGTCATAGTCTCAAGATAACTCCACCACCTCTCAACCCTTACAACACATTACCTAACCCACAGTCCATGAATGATCAGTAACTCTAAAGATTCATTCACCTTTTAATCTCTTGAGGAAGAACCCCTCCTTAGGGTTCACGAGGAACCACCTTAGACACGACAAGTGGTCGTCTTCGGGGACTACCTGACTACAGGGAACAAAAGTCATCTGACAAGGATTCATCAAGGACCCATTGTCACTCAACTGAGGAGGAGGAATTATCAAGGGAAAGCGCCAAGCCATTACGATTATACAGCACTTGGAAAGGGTCAGGATAAGGATTTGGGATGGGACGGGGGAAAGGAATGGTGCCCAACCACTTGTGGACGGTGTCACTCAACTGAGTGATACATTTAAAAGAACTCAATCGAGATCCATCAGCGTCTTTAAGAGTTTACTCTAAGGAAATCTTTCCTCAGTCCTGCCAACTTTATGTCTATATTAAATACACTACGAGCATGAGGTCATTCTCCACCCAAAGTCATTCCTCTTATAAACGACCTCGTAGTGCTTCGGAGCTCACAAACTCTTCAACAAACGTAAACTAAGCCGCTATGATTGAGAAAAGATGTACGTGTTTCGTAAAGAGCACCCACGTAAATGCTTGATGAATGTTGTCTATAATTTCTTTAAGTGAATCACCCTAAATGATCCATCATGTGTCCTTATAACCTGTTCTGGTGATGAGTCTGAGATACACCATGATGAGTCGGCGACTGTCCTCCCGCGCTTGGGAAGCTCTCATGAAGGCGCTCGCTAATAATAGCGACTATCCAAGCCACTCGTGACGCTCGAAATACCTAAGCTAATTAACGTTTCGTAACTAGCAACTTAATAACTAAAATGACTTGGATAACAGCGACACGAGTGTCTAAATAATGACTCGAGTGGACTAACAGTATTTTGGAGTCACACACACAGCCTTCCGTGAAGGACTCGAGGAGGGTGGGGGTGGGGGGTGCCACTAACACACAAGAGGATACGTGGCACTGGAGAGGATACATGACACTGAGGGAGGATACATGACACTGAGGGAGGATAAACGACACTGATGGGACTAACCAAGGAGGGGGGTGGGGTGGTGCCACTAACACACAAGAGGATACGTGGCACTGGAGATGATACATGACACTGAGGGAGTATACATGACACTGAAGGGGGATACATGACACTGAGGGAGGATACATGACACTGAGGGGACTCATCAAGGAGGGGGGGGGGGTGTGCCACTAACACACAAGAGGATACGTGACACTGGAGAGGATACATGACACTGAGGGAGGATACATGACACTGAGGGGACTCACCAAGGAGGGAGAGGCCGCCGCAAGCAGCCCATACGACGAGAGACAAGCCCACGCTCCCAGTGCGTTCTAGCAGACCCTTCGGGCTTACAAAGATTCCTGACCCTGAAAGACAGTACACAAAATTAAAACAACACTTAAGTCTTTCAATGTATGAGGCGGAGAAAGTTGCTTTCCTGTGTGCAATTGTCACGTGTAGGCTACGAACGCATTCACAATTGCAGTTAATGATAGCAATGAATGGTGAATCTCCATTCATATATGCAGGAAAGGTAGAGAGGTCTCACCTCCTTGGGACGGGCGCTGCCCGGGTGTGGGTTCGAGGTATGAAGGAGCTTGGGAATGATTCGAGAGAAGATGAAGTCATTGAAAATGACTTCATCATTTTCAATGATGAAGAACGAATGACTTCATCATCTTCAGACTATGAAGATTTTCATAGTCTGAAGATGATAGTCATTCATCAATCATCAATCATTCATCAATAGTCTGAATCTTCTTTTGAAGATAGTTCAAAAGACTATGTTCTATGTCCTATGTTCAGACTATGTCTGAACATAGTCTATGAGCATTCAGACTATGTCTGAACATAGTCTGAATCTTCTTTTGTCTGAAGATGACTTCATTATCTTCAGACAAATGAAAATGACTTCATCTTCAGACTATCTGAAGATGTGTCTGCCAGAAACAAATATTGATACTTAAAAGAAATGGTGCACCCGTAATCTGGTGACCATTATATATGAACTACTAAAGTTATAATACATACATACAAAGACAGCATGATTGTGAGTTTCAACAATACATAAAACAGCTGTGGGCTAAGTTTATCATTAAAAAGCATGGCAATGATGTATACATATTCCCGATAAAATACTTATGGTTTATGTAATATAATTCAGATTAAATCTGGAATATATGGAAATCAAACACACACACACACATACACACACACACACACACACACACACACACACACACACACACACACACACACACACACACACACACACACACACAAGAGAAGGTGAAGGAGGCCAAGACCGTTAGTAGTTTCAAAGCGTTATATGACAAAGAGTGCTGGGAAGACGGGACACCACGAGCGTAGCTCTCATCCTGTAACTACACTTAGGTAATTACACACACACACACACACACACACACACACACACACACACACACACACACACACACACACACACCTGGAGTGCATAATTATAAAATGTGAAAACGGCGTAGATATTACATCTGGCCAGTCTACCGCACATTTAAACCATTACTACAAGTTACAATGATAAGAAAGGCTCAAGACTTCTCAAGAACAGGTCAGCCATTACGGCACAGACCAGAGGTAGAGCACTTCCGGTCTTATGCTTGCTTGAAGAGTCCAAATTTTGTATCAAAATCAAAATTTTTCTTGAAAATATTGTTTTACTCTCCATGTATATATTTTAATTTTCACTTTTATAACTAAAAACAAACATCAAAAGTGCTCTTCGATTTAGTAAAAGACTTAACTTTCTCCTGTTTTTGCTCTAATTCAGTGTATTTAAATAATTAAGTAGATTCGTTTGGAATCTACAAAACTATAGGCTATTATAATTTAAATATCTCTTAACTATAGGCTATTGTAATTTAACTATCTTTTAACTATAGGCTATTGTAATTTAACTATCTTTTAACTATAGGCTATTATAATTTAAATATCTCTTAACTATAGGCTATTGTAATTTAACTATCTTTTAACTATAGGCTATTGTAATTTAACTATCTTTTAACTATAGGCTATTATAATTTAACTATCTTTTAACTATAGGCTATTATAATTTAACTATCTTTTAACTATAGGCTATTGTAATTTAACTATCTTTTAACTATAGGCTATTATAATTTAACTATCTTTTAACTATAGGCTATTATAATTTAAATATCTCTTAACTATAGGCTATTGTAATTTAACTATCTTTTAACTATAGGCTCTTATAATTTAACAATCTTTTAACTATAGGCTATTATAATTTAACTATCTTTTAACTATAGGCTATTGTAATTTAACTATCTTTTAACTATAGGCTATTATAATTTAACTATCTTTTAACTATAGGCTATTGTAACTTAACTATCTTTTAACTATAGGCTATTATAATTTAACTATCTTTTAACTATAGGCTATTATAATTTAACTATCTTTTAACTATAGGCTATTGTAATTTAACTATCTTTTAACTATAGGCTATTATAATTTAACTATCTTTTAACTATAGGCTATTATAATTTAACTATCTTTTAACTATAGGCTATTGTAATTTAACTATCTTTTAACTATAGGCTATTATAATTTAACTATCTTTTAACTATAGGCTATTGTAATCTATAGCCATTTCTTACAACACCTCACTCTAAACCAATCAACTTTATGACGTCTTCGCTAATAGCCCAATCATGCTGCTGCCAATCACCCACCTCCTCTCATCCTTACAACACAACCATTTATACGTTTGTAACAAACAAAGGCTCATGGTACCTACCAATCACCGTAGCAAACAATAGCTAACCAATCACGGTATCAAACATACCTTATCTAATCATAGCTCGGTCTAGCCATACACCCTTCACAATCATCAGCAAGACTAACCAATCACGACACTTAAACACACATTCCCCCGGACCAATCAAACCAATACAAAACAGAAACAAATAACACTTAGTGGGCCAGCCAGGGGCCGGATTCACTAAGCAGTTACGCAAGTACTTACGAACACGTACATCTTTCCTCAATCTTTGACGGCTTTGGGTTACATCTATTAAACAGTTTACATGAATGAAAACTTGCCAATCAACGGTTGTTATTGTTATAAACATCATCCTGTTGTTTCGAAGCTCCTTAACTGTTTGATAATTGTAAACAAAACCGCCAAAGATTGAGAAAAGATGTACAGGGGCCAGATTCACGAAAGCACTTACGAACCTGTACATCTTTTCTTAATTTTTGGCGAATTTGTTTACAATTATTAAACAGTTAATGAGCTCGGAAGCACCAGGAGGCTGTTTATAACAATAACAACAGTTGAATGGGAAGTTTTCATGCTTGTAAACTGTTTAATAAATGTTAACTAAAGCCGTCAAAGATTGAGGAAAGATGGACACGTTCGTAAGTGCTTGCGTAAGTGCTTTCGTCAATCTGGCCCCAGGTTCGTAAGTGTTTGCGTAACTACATCGTGAATCTAGCCCCAGAGGTTTTCAGGGCCCTGAAAACAATCTAGCCCCAGAGGTTTTCAGGGCCCTGAAAACAATCTAGCCCCAGAGGTTTTCAGGGCCCTAAAAACAATCTAGCCCCAGAGGTTTTCAGGGCCCTGAAAACAATCTAGCCCCAGAGGTTTTCAGGGCCCTGAAAACAATCTAGCCCCAGAGGTTTTCAGGGCCCTGAAAACAATCTAGCCCCAGAGGTTTAGGAGCCCTGAAAACAAACACCAATCACTATCAAGAGCGAAGATTGACACTTACCAATCATAGTCCCGACAATCAGAGCAACCCCACTGAGGAGTCCCACCCTCCTCTCGAGGTTAACAGCGTCATTCGGAGCTGGTCTGCCCCCCTCCACACCTGCACACTTGCCTCCTTCAGCTTGGCCCTCTGACCTCTGGAGGCGCGGCCCTCGGCCCCGGACATTCTCACTGCTCCCCACGCCCTCATGTCCTGCAACGGAGATAATGGCTTAGTCAGGGGCGATAAGGGAGGGGGGAAGATAGGGGGAGGGGGAAGTGAGGGAGAGAACATAAGAACATAAGAATAAAGGCAACTGCAGAAGGCCTACTTGCCCATACGAGGCAGCTCCTATCTATAACCACCCAATCCCACTCATATACATGTGAGGGGGGAGAGGGAAGTGATGGGGGGGGGAGGGAAGTGGGGGGGGAGGGAAGTGAGGGGGGAGGGGGAGTGGGGCGCATTATGGGGGGAATACATAATGTAGTAGATTATTGCAGCAACATTATCACCAAACAGTTGACATAGCTTGGAACATCTGAAAAATGAATCGACCTATAAAAAGCTGACATCACAGTGACAATATATATAAATATATGTGTATGTAAATCACAAAAATAAACACATGATAAGTGTGACAGTGTCAGACCACCGAGGACGAATTGAAACAGGAATTTCCTTAAGTACTTTCGTATTTAATAATACATCTTCAGAAGGATGAATATGTATTATTCTGAAGATGTATTATTAATCCTTCTAAAAATGTACTATTAAATACGAAGGTACTTAAGGAAAATTCTTGTTTCAATTCCTCCTCCGTGGTCTGACACTGTCATAAATATATATATATATATATATATATATATATATATATATATATATATATATATATATATATATATATATATATATATATATATATATACACAAGGAAACCTTCCCCCCCCCCTCCCACACACACATCTAAATCAATACAGTTTACCCAACACACAAAACAATGAGACGGCGGACAGTGTCTCGACAAAGCAACTGAAATATAACACTTACAAGTTCAAGATAGAGAAGTGTTAGCACCAGGCGTGGTTGATCAACAAGTCCAATGGCTGGCATAATGTTAAAGCCACTTTTATCCACAACTTCAAAAGCAGATATGACCAAGAACGGGTGTTGAATACATAGAGTAAGGGCTCACCATAGCCCGTGCTACTTGGAACTTTTTGTTCCAGGTAGGGAATCTTAAACAAGAACAGGGTGTTGAATAGTGTCACTCACCGGGAATCCCTCACCAGACGCACCTCATACTCACAATCCACAAATATATTAGAACATAATAAATATCTAGTATCAACAAAACAATGATTCAGAGCAAACCGCAATTAATAATGCTGCAAAATCTTGCAGCATTAAACAGCATTTCAAAATATCTTAAATAAACCAATAATTCGAATCATCTTTTCCCAAAATTCTGCCCTAAAATGAAAAAAAAAATCCACAAATTATTAAAAGCGCGGCGCTAAGGGGGTGTTAGGGTAAGCGTGGATCAGAGTGAATAGAGTAAGCGTGGACTAGAGTGAATAGAGTAAAGAGTTAGCGACCATCTCTTGTGCCTTGAGACCCTAGCTGTCAACTACCATTGTAGCCTCGTGTACTAGGCTACCCCACACCCACACATATTCAATGACAGCGTAGCAGTGAGGGAGGAGAGGACGGAATGAAAGAAGGAATGAAGGAAGGGAGAGAGAGGGAATGCAGGCGGAAGGTAAGAACAAGGTACAGCAGAAGGGGCGACATATTAACTCACACTATCCACCTAACACAAGGCTGTTTACCTCAGAGTGGGGGTGACTGGGGCCGCCTCGCTAGTACTGGTCAATACTCGCTCCAAATGAGAGAAAAATAACCCGTCTCGAGTTAACAAATTAGCCAAATGGACATTCCAATTGGGTATATAAGAAATAATTTAGTCACCAGTATGTAGGGAAAAAATTGAACTAGCAAAAAAGGTAATTATCACACTATTTATCTAAAAATTCAAACAATTACATACATTCTTCAGAGAAAACACTTGACGAACCCTGAAAAATGTTGTGTTTATCTTCTATCATGTATACAATTTTCAGATTTATTATCATAAAAGGCTGAACAAATTAAAGAATGTATTCAATACGCTATACTAAGTTTCAAGTCTTGCCAGCCTCTGTATGCACGTGTGCGCGCGTATGTGCATGCGAGCCAGAGTACAATGAAGACAGCAGACATGTTAATCAATGCTGACAATTATGATAACGGGTCGGGTTATCTCGTAGCCTGGTGGATAGCGCGCAGGACTCGTAATTCTGTGGCGCGGGTTCGATTCCCGCACGAGGCAGAAACAAATGGGCAAAGTTTCTTTCACCCTGAATGCCCCTGTTACCTAGCAGTAAAATAGGTACCTGGGAGTTAGTCAGCTGTCACGGGCTGCTTCCTGGGGGTGGAGGCCTGGTCGAGGACCGGGCCGCGGGGACACTAAAAGCCCCGAAATCATCTCAAGATAACCTCAAGAAGATCTCCATGTGTCACAAAAAAATCCACCTGGTTAAATAAACCCTACAGAAGGAGATGCATACTCTCCTAATAAGTCACATTTTCAGGGAATTCCTCGACCTGACGCATTGTTGATAGTTGATTTCCGCCTTTCACAAACCTCATAGCCTAACCAGGGGCCAAATTCACGAACCAGTTACGCAAGCACTTACGAACCTGTCCCTCTTTTCTCAATCTTTGGCGGCTTTGTTTACAATTATTAAACAGTTAATGAGCTCTGAAGCACCGGGAGAGCCTGTTTATAACAATACCAACAGTTGATTGGCAAGTTTTCATGCTTGTAAACTGTTTAATAAATGTAACCAAAGCCGTCAAAGATTGAGGAAAGATGTACAGGTTCGTAAGTGCTTGCGTAACTGTTTCGTGAATCTGGCCCCAGCTCCCTAACAACCTTAAATCCCCTTTTCATTCCGAGAGCCCCAATTGTTGCCCCCTATTCGCCCCCCCCCTTCCCCTATCTCACCCCCAGTAACCAAAAAGAGCCGTACATTGTTGACTCGTTCAACTCCAATCACCGCCATTCAGAAGAGGCAGTTATTATTTGAGATAAAAATGCCAAACGGTTGCAACAATGCAACAGGGATCGATTGCCGTTTTGTTTTCAGTTTTGTAACCTGACAATATCAGCCACACCAAGTCCATAGTGGACCATAAAGGGTGAAAACAATGAATGGCGCGAGTTATGAAGGAATAATACCGCGGTAATAATGACATGTGTGATGAAACAAAAGAGCAGCGTGTGTGATCCGTTAAACCAAGGTTACAAACAAACACAGCCTGCAAACAGATGATTGATAAAGATCAAGTCACCCAAGAGGTGGCACGGGCATGAATAGCCCGTAAGTGCAAACAAAGACATACCACCATATATATATATATATATATATATATATATATATATATATATATATATATATATATATATTTATATATATATATATATATATATATATATATATATATATATATATATATATATATATATATATATATATATATATATATATATATATATATATATATATATACGGAACACACGAAGGTGAGGCTAGTGTTTAGATCTGACTCGCACGAGTGAAACACTCACGATATAAGCGGGTAATAATCACACTACGACCCCTTACGGGCTCACCATAGACCGTGCTACATGGACACTTCGTTCTGAGTAGTTAAATGTAAAACAACAGCAACACACTACGAACACAACTCCCGAACATTGGGTCTAATTATGCGAGTGTTGCTAAGTTCAAACTTTTGGCTCCTTCTAAAATGTGATTTTCAAAAGTCGATGAGCAATGACAAAGAGAAATCGCGAGGGCTGGAGAGATGAGTCAAGGGAGAGAAAGCCCAGAGGAGGAGAGAGAGAGATAAGCAAGATAGCAAGTGTCAAGAAAGATAGCAAAATTGGGGGGAGTATTGGTACTTGCGTAACTGTTTCCGCCTAACTGCGTATGCATTTTACGAGTTTCAAACCGTTAATCTATTCCTCGTCTCCATTGACAATCATTCATCCAATCCATCCTCCTCAAAATATAGCATTTTTATACCTATGTGGACCATGTTGACCAGACCACACACTAGAAGGTGAAGGGACGACGACGTTTCGGTCCGTCCTGGACCATTCTCAAGACAATCGACTTGAGAATGGTCCAGGACGGACCGAAACGTCGTCGTCCCTTCACCTTCTAGTGTGTGGTCTGGTCAACATACTTTAGCCACGTTATTGTGACTCATCGCCTGCATATGTGAACCATCGTACAAATATCGACGCGATGGACAAATGGAAAGTAGATGGGTACAATTCATTTTAGAGAGTCCGGGGAAAATTAAAGATAAAACCAAACTTAAATATTCCAAGGCCTATTATAGCATATATATGTACTATAGCAGACCTCAGATAACGTGAATTAGGCATAGGAAGGTTAGGGTTAGGTTTCAGTAGCAAAGTAGGAAAAAACTTGCCAATTTTGTCCAAATTTAATCATTCAAAAGCCTACTTTCTGTTGGTCCATCACGTCCATATTTGTACAACAGTCCTCATCGTTGTAAGTACTTTCATTATAGGACTATTTACTGGCTACATTAATCACAATTCGCGTATAGCGTAGGCCTCTAGATATACCACATTTGTTAATGGGTCCCTTCACCACTGTTAAAACTGCAGATCCTCCCCCCCCCCTCCCCCCACACTGCAGACACTATATACCTAATCTTAGGCCTAATTTAGCACATATAAGGATTACACAAGGCCTAGAAGTTGAGGTTTGCTTGTTGCCTTTCTTCCGTGCCCTCTACAAAAATTAACAAATCATATCTTTTTCCTTGCATGTGCAACAGTTTATATTCAGTAGTTCCATCCGTAGTTAACTGTGTAAATTCCTTTTCACTGTATGTTTACAGCGGATTTTGAAAACTTTTTTTCTGTAACTTCCCATCTCTTTGACTCACTGGCCCTCAAGGGCAACTGGGCAGGCTGAAACACGGTTCCTTAAGGTTCATATTTCATGAAATATTAGGAAATCTTAGCACCGAAGAAGCTAATAACGGGTTCATTAGGCTACAAAATTTTGTCAAGCCTCGTGTAAGTCTTGCAATAACCGCTGGGTTTCCATTTCTTGGCGTAAATG